CGTAATGTAGGTTTATCTTAGTTTAAGTTTGTTAAATTTGTATTGTTAGTTGTGATTGAATTTTCATTATGCAGTGGTGAATTGACAAAATAATTGATCTTCTGCTAAGACGGTTACCTGACATCCCTTTCACAGTTTACTCTCTCTGTTGTTTGATTATTTGGATGGTGTTCAGGTTGCTGTTTTATGATATCTTTTAACGTAAACAGTCTATAGTTAAAGCACATCTGTTTCATGGTCCGGTGGAGTCAAGCGTTAGTGCAATGTAGGATTGTAACTTAACAAAATTTATGGATTCCCTTCTATGGTTGGTAATTTTGCTTCCTAGTACCATATTTTTATTTTAACCAAACAACTATTGGCAAAAGTGCATTCTTAATGCTGTCCCGAGATGATCCTTCTAAAGTCTTTTTATTTTTTATGGTTCTTCCCTTCTAAGGATTGTCTTAGATTTTCGGTATTGAAGTTTTGAAGGTTTCTGAACATGTAAAACATGTATCAAACAATTGTGATGACAGCTTTTTTCTTGCATTATTTGGTCAAAACTCAATACACAAGCAAGTGAAATATGTCACGCGAATTTTTACTTCTTATTCGGTTAAAAGTGCCATATGTCATCGTGTATTTTTACTTCTTATTCAGTTAAAAGTGCCATATGTAGCTGTAATGAAGTATATAGAAACACACATCAGTTATTTTTTGTTGCCATCCAATTTCTGATCTAGTCATCAACTAATTTGCTCTTGTACTGTGCCTCATCCTTCCACTCCTCATCGTTCCACACCTTGTTATCCTCCTCACCATTACCATCTTCCCGCTTATTCTTATGATCCTTCTCACCATCATTGCTGGAGTTAGTTTTGGAAGAAAAGTGGTAGAAATGAATTGTGGTAGATGAAGCTAGAGTTGGCGCTATTTATGGTGGATACTTTCTATTGAAAGGGAGGGATTCTATCTAGCTAGCCTTACATGGCTTATGACTATCTAATCTCCATTCTTTACATAATTATTATACTTGCATGATGAAACTAGAAAAAAGCTTGGTCAGTTGTCTCGTGCATCACCTTTTGTCTCTTTCACTTGTAGAACCCTAATGTTGTCATTGATTAATATGATGTCATGTTTCCTGGGGTGTTGTGAGCAAGATCGAGACATTTAGTAACATAGACATCAATGAGGCAGAGACATTTAATTTGGGCGCATTTGGAAGGGATATGTGCCCGGGGTCGGCATTGGATCACATATCAAGTAAAATTTTCAATTATGATCTTCACGAGTTGGCGAGATGAATAAAATGGCAGATGTCAGCTATAAGGAGCCTGTTCACAAGCTCTTTTTCAATAAATGGGTTGGTCCTTTCTCTGAGGGCTTAAAATGATTGCAGCCTCAGAGTATCAAGCGCATTAAAACGCAATCTCAGAGATTCACTCCTTTCTTCTTTCTGTGCCCTCAACTTAAATTATTGGTACTTGAGTCGTAGCTCTCCAAGCTCAAAAGAACAAGTTATGAGAGCAAGAACTTCTTTTCTGATATTTTTGTTAACAGGTTTTGTCTCACTTTATTTTTTCTTCGACTGCTTGAAGGGAATCCTAAAATGTTATTACAGATTTGCGAGTATGTCTCTAATTTCACTAAATATTTCAGGTTGTACAATTTTTCTTCTGTAAGATAATAATCCCCTTTCAAGCCTATAATTTTGCAGTGAAGCACATGTTCAAAATTGTGATCAGTAACTTGTAAATAAATATTTAAATGGTAGAAACAATTATTTTAATCATGTCGGAGAGGTAACTTGTTTTTTTGCCTTGATCGATAGCTTCATGAAACTCGTACAGTTTCAATAAGAAAATTTTATTACAAATAATGTGTTTTATGTATTCATTATTATTGATAGGTCACTTTAGCTTTTTCTCTTATTTTATATGTCCATACATTTGGCCACTTACATGTTGGCATCTTTGCATAGCACTGTCATGTTGTGCCTATGTTGAGTGTGTTATAGTCTTTTCTATATTCTCGTCAGATTGGATAATTTATTACTCTGTTCCTTCAATTAAAAGTAAAAGTTTATGATATTCTAAAAATCAACATTGACCCGTAGAGGGGGTTCTCAACATAATTTACTTTTTGGCATCAAAAGTTATTGGAGCTGCTGCTATAGTCTTATATTGTACAAATATTCAAATGGTTGACCTGGACTTAGTTTTTGTTTTTGTCTGCTAGTATCTGCTTAAAATTTTCAATTGAATTTCTTTTTGAAGTTTCTGTTGCTTTTGTTTCATGTTAATTTGGTAGAAATCTCTATCTTATTTTTGTTTTTCTTTAAATTTGTTGCAAATTGTATTGATAGATGTGCAAAAAAATTTTGCACCTTAGATATTTAAATAATATCCTGATTGTCATCCAAGCCTTTCCCAGTGGAAAATGACGCCTGACCACAGGTCCACAACTCAAAAGTCCAGAAGCAGATAGCAAATCTTTACTGCCTGTTGTCAACATGATTCCATCATTTTATTATTTGGTGCCCACAATATGAATCTATGATACCTAAGAGTTGAATCAGCTGGCTAACTAACCTACCTAATATGTCCGGCAATAACTCATCATTCATAGGACCTTCTAATTCCTTTAGGATTGGAAAGTCTCTAGAAAAGAGGAAGATAACATTTTGTTTTTGTGGGACAGTATACATCCAAATGGCCAAGAAAAGGCTGAATGACCAAATGTATTTGTATTTTCTTCATTTAATCTCAATCCTTTTTGCATTTTTTGTGTACACAGATCCTGCTGCAGCTGCAACTCAAGCAAACAAGGAGGAAGTAGATTCTCGATCGGTGTTCGTCGGCAATGTGAGTTTTATGAGATCTCTTTTAAGGCCATGTTGTTGCATCAAATTAAAACTGTGTTATATTCTATCTTTGAAGCTATTTATGTGAATTTTCAAATTTTCAGTCATATCTCTTTGCTTAAAGCATGTTAACGTACCTTTTATGTTTATCTACATAGCAGAGTATTCTTAGGTACCGGCTTGAACATTTAGTTTTCGTATTATTTTACTTCTCATACAAAGTATTACTGGCGAAAGCTTATTCCTATATAAAAATGAAATAAACTCAAAATTCACCTGCAATCAAATTGATACAATTGCAGATTTCAGAATTGAAGTTTATGAATGAAAATAATTGTCGTTAGAGAGCTCTATTAAGGTTGTTTGTTAGCATTTTAGTCACATGGTCATATCTACTGTCCACTTGGCAATGGATGTTTAATGTTTGCAAGAGCTTAATTTTCTCTATTCTTGCAGCTTGCCTGTTTTCGTTGTTGCATTGTTAACCTAGTGCTGTTTTCCTTCGGGAAATAATCTTTCTTGTACTAATTTCCAGTGAAAATCAATCAAGTGGAATTTTTTGTCAGTTATGGTATGCCGATCACAACTGATGCAATGGTTCTTCCCAAAGAACATGAATGTTGAAGACTTGAAGTTAGTTTTATGAATGTTGATATTTTGGTTACTCTGATGCAATGTTGAAAAAAACGCGTTAAGAAGCGTAAAATAGCGGTTAACGTAACGTGGCGGTGGAGGGACGCGATGTAACGTTGTGAAATAGCGCAGTTAACAAATAACGTACGCTATTTTCGTCGTAGCGTACGTTACGTCTCGTTAATTCGTAGCGTTTCTTAACCTACGTTATTTTGTTAATGGTTACGGTTTATTTTAAAAAAAAACCGACGACTGTGATCGACTGCATACTCAACAAAACCCTAAACCAGATTCTAACCTCATTCCTCGTCTTCGTCTTAGGTCCTCCTCTTCTTCTCCGGTCCTCGTCGTCACCCGCAAAACACTGGATCTTTGCCGTCATCGCCCGCCTGGAGCTTTAACGTCGTCACCCGCTTGGATCTTTACCGTCGTCGTCATCTCCAGCCGAGCTTAGGGCTTTCGTCGTCGTCGAACTTAGGGCTTCGTCGTCGCTGAATTTAGGGCTTCGTCGTCGGGCTTCGTCGCCGCTGAACTTAGGGCTTCGTCGTCGCCAAACTTCATCGAAAAGTTTGGGGTCGCTGAACTTAGGGCTCCGTCTCCCTGTCGATTTCATCGAAAAGTTCTTCTAAATCTTCAAGAAATTTGACGAAGGAGGACTCTTAATTGGGGTGAGCTGGACAGCTGGCCTTTACAGTGAATGATGAGGGGTCTCTTAATTGGGGTCGGGTCAATTTTTTTTTTCGGGTTTTTTTTTTTTTTTTGAGAATAATTAGACTGAGGTGAGGTGGACCACTGGCTGTTTTTTTGAGAATAATTAGGGTGAGCTGTTTTTTTTAGAATAATTCGATTTTTAAGAATAATATAGTAACCGAAATTATTTATTGTTGTCTAATCTACTGTTTAACTTAATTGAAATTTCTGTTAATCTGGCCGAAATTATTTATGTGCAGAATCCAGTTAAATATTATATATCTATAAATTATTTAAATAATAATAAATTATTTAACCTACGTTACGCTATGCGTTATCGCTATTGTAACCTAACCGGAGGTAAGCGTTACGCTATGCGTTAACGCTATTTTCAACATTGCTCTGATGTTATATCCAGCTGTCCAGATTATTTTGCATATTTCAAAATTCACTTAATTGCACTTTAGGCATGAAAATTGCAATGTTGTATTTCTGCTCACTACTTGGTTTCCATCAAGACGTTAATATGTTTGTTCACATTTGATGTATTCTTATATTACACTTGTGTTTGATTTTCATTTTTTTAAATCATGAATGACTTGTTGCATCAGATTTTTTAGTCATCCTTTGACTGTAGGTGTTAAAATGTCGCAGGGTCACTCTTCAGTCTTCAAGTTCACCAATACTGAATACTTGGTATTCCAGAAAGCTTCGGTATTTAGAGTAGCTTGATTCTATAAAAAAATTATTATAAAATAAAAAAAATAGAGTGAAAAAAAGAAAAGCAAAAGAAAAGAAAAAGAAAAATATTCAAAAAAGTGAACAAAGAAACATCAAATGGAGGGAAGGAGAGAAATGAAAGAGAAAAAAAGAGGAGAAATAAAAGAATGGGCATATGAAGATTAAAAAGAAATTAAACTATAGTACAAATTGTACAAAAGAAGGGTGGAGAAATATAAAAAGAATCTGGCCAAGGCTACGGGAAAATATATTCTATGCTGTGAGAGATCCTGGACTGAAGCTTGGAGGGAGGGATGTTACACAAGTGGAAATTTGGGAATTGTCCTTTCCTTGGTGCTCAAGTGGGACTTCATATGGAGTATCTAGTTACCTTACAGCCTATGGTGAGAGGTCCATGATCTCTTACTTTGTCCTTGATACTTTTTTTAATTTTCTTTTGGCACCGTATTTTTCTGGACACATTGGTGATGTTTAGCAAGTACTACTGCTCATACACATCAGTAACATGTTAGTCGGGTTCTTCTATCATGAAGCCGTACCCGTACCTAACACGTACCGGACGCGTATCTGTACCCAAACTTCGTGGACACTCCTTGGATATACGCATACATTTATTCAGCCATATACTCAATTGTATGATATATGTTTTAGTTTAGAACACTTGTCATACACTTCTTGGACATATATCCTACACTTCACATTGTTTCTTGAAACTCTTTAGTCATTGATTGGGTTCATCAGTCCAAATCCAAGTTGAAAACTATGATTCCGAAGGGTCGTCTGGGTATCTAGCTCAAAAACGAGCAGTTTCCAACTTATAATAATCAACATAATAAAAGACACTCAAAATGTGCTAGAAATTTTAATTCTAAGGACACATGAGCTGAAGAACAATAATGATATCATGTAAATTATCAATTTCATATGTATATGTAGCAGTGTCCCCGTACCGTACATTTACAATTTCAGTGTCCCGTACCTGCACCCATAACAGTACATGTACCCATTTCCATGCAACTTAGCATAGTATATACATACCTTTAGTATGTACCCATTTCCATGCAACTTAGCATAGTATATGCATACCTTTAGTATTTAATTCCTAGAGACAAGATGTTTTCTCATGTAAGTTATTGGCCTATACTTGATGCTCTTAAGCTGAATCCTGTGTTCCATCGAGCCTTCTTTTAGTCCCTGAAAGTTTTTTTTAATGTACTACCTCACTACATTCACTGTATGGTGGGCTACTGTGAAGTGTTTCACTTGTGAGCAATGAGCATGAGACACTTACATGAACGAGAAAGTATGTCTTTGTCGTGTCCATGCTCCCAAGTCAGTTTAGCACTTTAAAGTTCTAATTTTGTCTGGATGTAATACTAATTTACTACGAAACTGGCATCTTAGGAAACTGACATCTGAACATTATGAACATCTGTTTTCAGAAATTGTTGATTAAGAATGAAGTAGCATTACAGAAATAAATTTATAAAACATGAGGCTATGTGTTGGGAATTTATGTTGCAACTTAGAGCTCTTGTCCATATCTAGAGAGAGGAGGGAGGGGCAGGTTTTTCCAGTATTTTGCATGATGAATGAATTGAATGCTTCATAAAAGAATTTATATGTTTCACCTCGTAGAAGTTTGAATTCACGTGAACGGCTAAAGAATCTAGGTCCACATCTGAGGATTGGTTGATAAAATATGTACAATGATTATCATTCATCTCTCTTTGCTAAAATATGTTCAGTTTGTTCCTTTTGTGGAAACCAACTTTTTAGCTGTTCTAAGTGTTGTTTATCTGGCGTGTTCTTGACATGATCTACTTCTCCCATGTTGGCTGATCGGGTTGAAGGGGATGTATAAGATAGATGATAGAGGAAAAAGCAAAATAGTGAAGATAATTTGAGGATGCTAGTCTTTCTGCTGCTATTTTACAGCTACATGACAATGAAAAGTGGTGATGGCATGTGAAATGTCAGTATTTGAAAAGCGTTCCTCATAAAAAAATTGTTGCCAATTGCTGAGACAGGTGACTGTATAGAAGTAGAATGAAATGGTTGAGATCCCCCTTTTCTCCATGTGCTCTGTCCTTTTAAAGTTAAAACTGAGTACAAAGTTAAAACTGAGCACAGACATGATACTCTTTGGTAATTGTAGGTTATTGCGCATAAAAGTAGAAGCTTCTGGCCACGTAGTTATAGACCTTCTGATGTGGATCGAACGGATGGAGATTTCTTGGTGATAGTTATTTGAGTAAAATAAAGTAAACGATAAATACTGAAAATGCATTCCTCGTTTAAGTAAAACAGATGCAAATATTGAGCTTCACACCCAACCACTTCACATGCCAAACAACTCACACGTCTAATACTTGCTTGTCTATGAGCATGTTTGGTTATTTCAAAGTGGCATATAAACCACTTTGGGGTGTTTGGTAAGTAGCTTATTTTGGCTTATAAGCCATCAAAAAATAAGTTACCATAAAAAAATAAGCTACGGTACGCTAGCTTATTTTTTGGTGGCTTATTAACCATGAGGTTTGACCAAGTAAAAGACAAGTATACCCCTCATGATTTCACAATATTCAATGTCTCATCTAATAAAATTCCACCAACTCTGTCCTTTTTGGTCATTTTGGCAACTATAATCTATCCATTTGCCAAACACTACTAGTAAAATGGATTATAATCCATTGAATTTACCAAACACTCAAGATTATAATCCACTTAGATTATAATCTCAAATGGATTATAATCTAAAGTTCTCAAACATGCTCTAATTCTTGCTACAACTCACATGCAGCGTATCTCAGATAAACATTCTTATTCCCTCTAAAATGAAAGGTATAATCGAATTTATAGGACTTAAACAAAATCCTAAATTCCTAATATTAACTAATAGATAATGTCAAAAAACAATTCATAACAAAATAACATTCAATCCTAACCAAGTAACAAATTCAGACCTAACTAAAACTCTCAACTTAAATAAAAATGCTGAACAATTTAAATCCTGATTGCAATCTAATCTTCTAATCGTCCTGCATCACTCTGCATTTTTTCTTTATTTTGTGCCTGAGTTTGTGGGTTCTCTAGAAGGGAATCAACTTGTTCGGTTAAGGACAGAGGTTTGAATCCTTACTGGTCTTGAGCACATCAGTCCATTTAAATCAGAAAGGTGCTCACAGATGATGTTGCTTTCTCCTCTCATGTACTGTGAACTGCATTCAACCTTTCCCAAGTGATATTTTTCACATCTTGTTAGCTGGAGACACGTTGCTGCTTGGTGGTGAGGGGACTGTGAGAAGGGGAGTATCTGCATAAGGTAGGTTGGTGAAGAGTGAATAATATTTGAGTCTGAGCTAATTCTGTTGACCTAATGCCCAAAAGAACTAGAGGTTGCTCCTGTAAGAGGAATAAATTTGTCTAATATGCATTTCACCCGTTTCAGTGGACATGACAATTTAGTATTGGTGTACAGTAGTTTTGCTCTGCACAAATTAAATTAAATAGTAATCAAGCATATGAGTCTTGCTTCTTTAGATTTTGAAACTCCGAGAACTGTTCCTTCAAGAGGAATAAATTTGTCTAATATGCATTTTACCCCCTTTCACTGGACATGGCAACTTAATATTGGTGCAAGGTAGCTTCGCTTTTCAAAATTTCAATATTAATCAAGCTGAACTCATACGAGTCTTGCTTCTTTAGATTTTCTTCGAGAACTGGTTCTCTTTTTAATGTTATATTAATTGATATATAAGCTTCCTGCTTCTAGATGATTTAGATCTTCTAAAATGAGTATTTTTTGTATTTATTTGTATTCCAGCTATTTATTTCTAACTGGTACGTTTTCTAATAATTAATTAGCTTTTTCAATATTAACTAGCTAGGCTACTTTTCTTTTTGTAAATCACAGCCTGCTACGACAAAATGGAGTTGAAGAGAGCTAGACAGGTTTTAAGTGTTCCCTTCTGAAAGCCTTTTTCAGTCATCCTAGTCGTCCTGGTCCTAATGAGACATAGTCTATTCTTAACCGGGTAGGAAAATAAGCTTTAATGAGGATTTAATAATTTTCTTGCAAGAGCCTGTATGATCAGCTTTAATCAGGATTTGTATATTGATGGATATACTGACTTCCTGCCTTCTATCTAAACATATATCGTCTCTTTTATCCCTTCAGATAACACTTTTTAGATCTCTTTTTGAACTTTGCCCTTGTGGGTCCCTCATATGTGAATAAGGCCTTGAATTCAAACTTTATATTAATACCAGGCATGTGATATATCTATCCTTATGCATTCTTCCTGTTTTATCCTTCTATCTAAACATATATCGTCTGTATGATTGCGTGGTAATGTGGTATTAATATAAAGATTGCCTAATTTACATTGTTGTTCATGACCACTTAGCTTGATCCATTGCATATGATTATCTTAGATGGTAGAGCCCATTTGTGAATAAGGCCTTGGATTCAAACTTTATATTAATACCAGGCATGTGATATATCTATCCTTATGCATTCTTCCTGTTTTATCCCTTCTATCTAAACATATATTGTCTGTATGATTGCCTGGTATTAATATAAATATTGCCTAATTTACATTGTTGTTCACGACCACTTAGCTTGATCCATTGCATATGATTATCTTAGATGGTAGAGCCCATATGTGAATTAGGCCTTGGATTCAAACTTTATATTAATACCAGGCATGTGATATATCTATCCTTATGCATTCTTCCTGTTCTCTTGCATATTGTTCCTTCATAGCAAGCTTGGCACATCTGATCCATGGACAGTGGTAATATAAGGACTAAGATGTGATACATCTATCCTTATGCATTCTTCCTGTTCTCTCGCATATTGTTCCTTCATAGCAAGCTTGGCACATTTGATCCATGGACAGTGGGAATATAAGGACTAAGGTTTGAAAAATCAGGGACTGTACTACATATCCATTCACATCAGGTGGAAATTGACAAAGGCGATCCAAAACAGGAAATTGTTGCTGGCGCCAGGCAATGCAGGAAAAATTCATAGAATTTTGTGAAGAAACCTGATGAAACACTTTGATGCAGGTGACATCGATGATAGTTTTACCTGTCATGATTTTTCCCCCTCTTACAGATATAATACATTTCAAGCACATCTATTGACATGATATCTAAGATCTACGTGCATGTTGCATTTGTTTCTAGTTGTTATTTTCTATCAAGCTGCTTGTCATAATTTTTTGCCCCTTGCAAATATAATACACTTGTACTTTTATGTTACATGGTATCTTAAATCTATGCGAATTGAATGTTGTATTTTCCAATGGCATTTGCAGGTTGATTACTCATGCACTCCTGAAGAAGTACAGCAGCACTTCCAGGCTTGTGGAACTGTGAACAGGGTTACCATTCTCACTGACAAGTTTGGTCAGCCAAAGGGATTTGCTTATGTTGAATTTCTCGAGGTTGAAGCTGTTCAGGAGGCTCTTCAATTGAATGAATCTGAGCTACATGGTCGCCAGCTGAAAGTGAGTTTTTTTGGATGTCTTTTACTATTTACTCTATTCAAATTAAAAGGCAATCATCCAATGTTAACCTTTTTATTAAACTTTTCTTTAAACCACAGGTGTCTCAAAAAAGAACTAACGTTCCTGGACTGAAGCAGTTTCGTCCACGGCGCTTCAATCCTTACATGGGATCTCGATTCAGGAGGCCATTTATGCCATATTACTCTCCTTTTGGCTATGGGTTTGTTCTTGCCGTTGATTCTTTTTTTTTTAATTCTTTCTTGCTTCCAGTTTTCTTGTGATCATGCAAGTAATAGACTTTTGCGGTCTTATGCAGGAAATTTCCCAGATTTAGGAGGCCAATGCCGCGGTATATGCCCTACTACTAGAAATTTGGAGGGTCCAGTTTAGGGCCACGTAGATAATCTCTAGAATAAACTTATTGGGATATACTTGCTACAAGTACCTCTCTTATCAATTAGCTTGAAATCTTACCAGAGAACGCTAATCTTTGGTTGTTGTGACTTATTGGAGTGTATGAAATGGTTACTTGCAAAATGCAGTATGGTTTACTGCTCACCTACCTATGTGATATAAGCTGGTGGTTTTTGGTGGGTTTAATTGCCGCAGAAGCATCTGCGACTTGATTGATTGCTACAGGTTAACTACTGGATCTAAAATGGATTTGCTCTTCTCATCATCGGCAAATAATTAAATTTTGGCTAGCTGGTTTTGTGGGTTGCCGAGCTGACACGTGAGCCGTGGGAACGCTCTCGATGGAGCTATTATATATTGTATGGCCTCATCATCTCATGCGTAGGCCTGCGGTTTTGGTGAGAAGAGTAAATTTGCTGCCATTTTGTTCAGCGAGAACGGGTTCATTAAATGTGCTGATGCTTGTGGATGAGACGCCAACTAGATGCTCTGAGGCGTAGCGCGCTACGGCCCCAATTGACCAAAACTATCTGAACTTATATTTCGCCTTAAAAAAAAAAAGCCTTTTGAATCAAATAGATCGAATAGTCTGAGAATATAAGTTTCCACGGAATCTACTAATTGCTCGTTTGGGTGTGTTTGGTTTGAATGAAAGTGGAAGAAAGGAAAAGAAAGTGGGAAAGAAAGTCATTTTTCATTGTTTGATTTAAAAGAAAAGCAAAAAGAAAATGAAAACAGGAGAAAATAAGAAGGAAAGTGGGTTGAATTTTCTCACGATCCTTTCCTCGTTGGAACCCAGCGAAAATTTTATCGGGGAAGAAGAAGCTGAAGGATGCGAGGAGGGCCACGCATGTAGGATTTATTTTCACGTGGGGGCCCACAAGATTAAATGGGCATGCATCAGACTTTATGTAGACAATTATAATCACTATTCCATGTGGGCCCCACATGTCATAAATGTCCGCATACATGAAAGTTTTCTTCGGCCATCTTTCTATTAGCTCCTCCACATTTTTAGTTATTACGAGAGTAGTCCCTGAAACATTAAACATGCTACTAAGTCCCCGATTTTCATAAGTTATTTCAAGCTAACCTTTCCAATATAAGTGCAGGTTTATGAATAAATTGATGGCTTATTTGCATTTATACACACTATAGTTTTTCCTACTTTTCACTTACATACCCTCAATGAGTTTGCTCCAATACCCTCAAATAATAAAGAAAATAACATTGTTTATTTTCCTCTAGATTTTCTTTTAATTTTCTTTAGTAACCAAACATAAGAAAAAAAAAAAACTCATTTCACTTTCATTTTCTTTTCTTTTTCTTTCCTTTTCCTTTTCATTTTCATTTCCCTCATGTTACTTCAAACCAAACACAGCCTTAGAGAAGTAGTGGAAATGTGTGTATTCCAGTAATAGCTCTACAAATAAATAAAGGGAAAAATGCTTTTAGCCCCCAAAAGCCAAGTGAACGTGCTTCCTACCCCCCAAGACTTGGTCAATGGGCGTTTTACCCCTAAAAATAAAGAATTTGTTCTCTGAGCCCCCAAAACACAAAACCCAAGACATTAAAACATGTGAAGACCATAATACCCTTCTCTCTCTTTCTTTTTTTATTAAAATATGATGAGGGTTATTTTATTATTTTTGTTTTTCTCTCTCTCTTTATCATGATGTACCAAGAGGATGGTTGAAATGATTGATGGGGATTATTTTATTATTTTCGTTTTTTATTATTTTCGTTGTTTGTATTGGGAGGTTATTAATGTTACGGGTCAATTGTTAAGGTTACGAGTTAATTGTTAATGTTACGGGTCAATTGTTAAGGTTATGAATCCTCTCTCTCTCTCTTTCTTTTTTTATTAAAATATGATGAGGATTATTTTATTATTTTTGTTTTCTCTCTCTCTTTATCATGATGTACCAAGAGGATAGTTGAAATGATTGATGAGGATTATTTTATTATTTTCGTTTTTTATTATTTTGGTTGTTTGTATTGGGAGATTGTTGATTGTTAATGTTACGGGTTGGTTGTTATGGTTAAGGGTTTGTTGTTAAGGTTATGGATTTGTTGTGTAGGTTACGGATTTGTTGTTAAGGTTACGGATTTAATTGTTAAGGTTACGTATTTAATTGTTAAGGTTACGGGTTTAATTGTTACGGTTACGGTTTATTAATTGTTAAGGTTACGGTTTAATTGTTAAGGTTACGGGTTTAATTATTATGGTTACGGTTTTAATTGTTAAGGTTATGGATCCCTTCTCTCTCTCCCTCGTAACCTTAACAATTAAACACGTAACCTTAACAATTAAATTGTAACATTAACAATTAAACCGATAATCTTAACAATTAAACCCATAACCTTAACAATTAAACCGTAACCTTAACAATTAAACCGTAACCTTAACAATTAAACTGTAACCTTAACAATTAAACCCATAACCTTAACAATTAAAACCGTAACCATAATAATTAAACTCGTAACCTTAACAATTAAACCCGTAACCTTAACAATTAAACCGTAACCTTAACAATTAATAAACCGTAACCGTAACAATTAAACCCGTAACCTTAACAATTAAATACGTAACCTTAATAATTAAATCCGTAACCTTAACAATTAAACACGTAACCTTAACAATTAAACCCGTAACCTTAACAACAAATCCGTAACCTACACAACAAACTCATAACCTTAACAACAAACCCTTAACCTTAACAACCAACCCGTAACCTTAACAATCAATGCATAACCTTTACAACCAACCATTATCCTTAACAACGAATATTCTAAAAATACAAAAAGAATAAAAAACAAAAATAATAAAATAATAATCCTCTTTAATCATTTCAATATCATCAAAGAAACATCATGATAGAGAGAGAGAGAAAGAGAGAGAGAGAGAGGATTCATAACCTTAACAATTGACCCGTAACATTAACAATTAACTCGTAACCTTAACAATTAACCCGTGACTTTAACAACCTCCCAATACAAACAACCAAAATAATAAAAAACGAAAATAATAAAATAATACTCATCAATCATTTCAAATATCCTCTTGGTACATCATGATAAAGAGATAGAGAAAAATAAAAATAATAAAATAACCCTCATCATATTTTAATAAAAAAAGAAAGAGAGAGAGAGAGAGAGAGAGAGAGAGTATTCATAACCTTAACAATTGACTCGTAACATTAACAATTAACTCGTAACCTTAACAATTAACCCGTAACTAACCTTAACAATTGACTCGTAACATTAACAATTAACTCGTAACCTTAACAATTAACCCGTAACTTTAACAACATCCCAATACAAACAACGAAAATAATAAAAAACAAAAATAATAAAATAATCCCTATCAATCATTTCAACTATCCTCTTGGTACATCATGATAAAGAGAGAGAGAAAACAAAAATAATAACATAATCCTCATCATATTTTAATAAAAAAAGAAAGAGAGAGAGAAGGGTATTATGGTCTTCACATGTTTTAATGTCTTGGGTTTTGTGTTTTGGGGGCTCAGAGAACAGATTCTTTATTTTTAGGGGTAAAACGCCCATTGACCAAGTCTTGGGGGTGGGAAGCACGTTCACTTGGCTTTTGGGGGCTGGAAGCATTTTTCCCATAAATAAATCGAATTGAATGGGGGGAGAGAGAGAGAGAGAGAGAGAGAGAGAGAGAGAGAGAGAGAGAGAGAGAGACGCTGTCTGTGTGTAAGATTATCAATGCAAAGTCATCAAGATCCGTCTGTTTTGCAGATCCAAAAATATGTGAATATACAAGTAGGTGCGACTACGCAATTGATGTACATCCCAAACACTCTTGAGTAATCGTAGGTCAGCTGCCATTAATTTTCAATAGATTTTCAAGACTTCTAATGCAAATATGAGGTAGATAACCGGAGTACAATCTACAGTAGAGTTTACACGTTTTTACTAAATAGGAATATTGAATTTAATATTTAGACGTGTATTCACACTCGTATCCATGCTTTGGAAGAAAATATATGTAGGTATATGTAGGTATGACGACACGCGTGTCCAATCCATTCACACCTGTAGAAGGTAGTTCTATCTTGTTGGATTTGATTAGTTGAATTTCTTTTGTGCGGTCCAAATTCAAGGGACAATATTATGTCGTGATATGTACGAAGGATTTTCAATAGGGTAATCTGTGCTGGGGAAGTAGGAGAGAAATTTACCAGGCCAGGTGAATTCAGATAAATTACTTTAATTTCCATTTAACAAAGGTTTTATCATCACTACAAAGATAAAACTTGAAAGAACAATTGGTGTTACCCACGCAAACTCGTCCATTACACAAGTGACGCACCTTTCTCTCACTCAATACAAATTCAATACCCTCTCCTTCTGCTTATTCTCAACCAAACGGCATTATCATAATTTTGTCTAAAAGTAAAATAAAAACAATAAAAAAACAAAAGAAAACATTATGACATAAATATTAGCACGGTATACGTCCACTCAGAGCCCCAGGGAAGGCAAAGGGGAAGCGAGAAGAGACTGCGGTGACGCCATCCTCCTCTTTCTGAGCCTCTCAGCGATGATGAAGGAGAGCTCCAAAGACTGAGATGCGTTGAGACGAGGGTCACAGTGAGTGTGGTAGCGAGAGCTGAGATCGTCGAAGGTGACAGTACGGGACCCACCGATGCACTCAGTCACATTTTGGCCTGTCATCTCCAAATGAACGCCTCCTGGGTGGCTGCCTTCTTGATCGTGGACATCGAAGAACGCTCGAACCTCAGCCTGAATTGATCATATAGATAAATGAATGAGATCCCAAATAACTACTGAAACTTGTTTGCACTGTGATAAATTTGGGTTTTGGTCCTACAGTCTTATTATGCCGGTGAAACAAAAATGTAAAGAAGACTAGGGCATCATATGACGAAGGTTATCAGCATTTACTTGGGAAAGGTTTGAAGATTATAATTGAAGAGCAGAGTTCATACTAGTCAAATGTCTGGAGTAGAAAATGAAAGGCCACCAAACATCTACCGAACTTTCAAGGATTAGATTATCAAGCCTTTTGTTGACTTAAGTCCATCCATCATTTGCTACCCAACTTTTGCAATCTTTCTTTAATTAGCCAAAGGGTCTAGTACTCCTTCGAAAATAGCTCCTTAACAAAAACAAAGCAAAAAATAAAAATAAAAAAATAAATTGCAGGAGATTCATATATGGTTTCTTTCCCTTTCACACTGCAACGCTGCGAAGATGACTGAGTTGCAAAATGTGAATCATACTGACAATTCAAGACATGTATCACACTAACTGTTTTTAATTTGCGCTTATAGTAACGCCAGCGCGACTTTAAATGATTTGAACGCTTTACTTCATATGTGAAGTTGACACATGAAGGTCGCGTTCAGCAGAAAAAGAAAAAAAAAAAAAAAGACAAATAAAAAAAAAAAAAAATAACAAGAAAATGGTAGTTCCATAGTACTTCCAGCTCCATATACACTAGAGAGTAAGAATTAATTGTAGGCAACATTTAAACAATAAGTTCGCATGGAATTGAGAATTTAAAACAAATTAGATTCCGTAAGAGCAAAATCATCAAAATTTAGTACTGCAATAGTTAGAAGCAGTAATTTGTTAAATAATATCCACAAAATATGCAATCAATTAAACCATACAGATGTTGTTTTAAGAACGAAACTGAGACCTACTTTAATAATAAAATATAAACCTAATAATAGCCTTCAAGCAGGAAAGCAACTTCCAACTGTACTTCAATTTCAAGACGAAGCGATTAATAATCTGTGGCCATAGGTATTAATTAATTATTGATGTTTGGCCCAGGATATTAAGTAGCTACATGTGGTCCGTTATACTGTTCTACCGAGCTAAGAAAGCCGAAACATTGTGAAATTAATGTATATCGTACCAGAATAGCATCAAATGGGCGAGTCTTGAGGCCACAAGGTGCCTTGATGGTGTTCCCATGCATTGGATCACTGACCCAAGTAACAATCTGTCCAGCTCCACGAACAGCTCGAATCAAATGGGGAAGCTTCACTCTCATGTTCTCAGCACCCATTCTAACTATCACAGTGATTCTACCTGGTTTATTTGAAGGGTTCAAGATCTCAACCAGTTTCACAAGGTCCTTTGGATTCATCTTGTCGCTTACCTAAAAAAAACCATCAAAAGCACAACAATTAATGTTAGAAAGTCGAACAACACAATTACGTTTGACACATAGAAGTCCTCTAGTTATTTGTGAATTTACCTTGATGCCGAGGGGATTGGCAACACCACGGAGGAACTCAACATGGGCTCCGTCTAGCTGACGAGTGCGCTCACCTACCCAAATCATGTGGGCAGAGCAATCGTAGTGAAGGCCAGTGGTGGAGTCCTCTCGGGTGAGGGCCTGCTCATAGGGGAGGAGGAGGCACTCATGAGATGTCCAGAACTCTGTGGTTGTCATGATTGGGTGTTCTACAGTCAGCCCAGCTGCTGTCATGAATCCCAAAGCCTCGTCCACACGGTGGGCCAGTTCTCTGTACCTGTTCACATATTGTTGTAGAAAGAGTAAGTAAAACCTGCTCATATGACTTTCTAGGTGGATATGAAAGCCCTTTTGTCAAAAAAGTTAGCCTCCCAAGCCATGTCAGTTTCCATTCACTGAAGTTAAGAAGAAAGACACAAAATGCAAAAAGGAAATCTAGAAAATGAGCAAGCAATAAATAAAGAAACATCCAAAACAAGCTAGTTGATCAAGAAACAACTGCTTAATGATACGGAGAAGAGCCGTAGGCATCTCTTTTTCCCCTTCATGCTGGTAAAAGCACTTGTCCTTCAATCATTTGCGATCGATAATCTAGAGAACATGCAGTTAGTTCAGAATGGGAATGAGCAAACACACGAGGCTGATGTACATACTTGGTTGAGAATCTTCAGATATGTGATGAATTGAATTACCATGACCAATGAACAAATGATGGATTACACACCAAATTGGAGGGCTATCAGGAAGTTATTTCCGGATAAATTTGTCAGAATATAATAAAATGTGATACAAAAATTGTGCCCGTTTAGGGAAGGAAATTTGTCCTTTTCTCCTTTTCTACATAACCTCATAATGTAAGAAAACTGAAATTTCTGAACGTATCTTGTAAGAAAGTATGGGATTTTTGATAAATTGTTTCTTGACTGCCAATTTGCATAAAAGAACATAAGAGTTATTTTAAGGGGGGAAATTACTTCAGAAGAATAATCACAAGTGATAGTTTGATGTACTCAGCAGCAAACTAGCGGAGATAGGTTTTACTTTGCTAATTTTAAAGGGAAAATGGAACACTCAACATTGTAAGAATAGCAGGACGGTGGAGGTGTTGTATTACCTGTCACCCTGCTCGCTGTGCTCAGTAAAGTCAAGGTTCCACTGGGTGACCCTCTGCATGGCAGCATATCCACCAGTGGCAAAGGCACGGAGGAGGTTGAGGGTCGCAGCAGACTGGCAGTATGCCCTGATCATTCTCTCAGGGTCTGGAACCCTCGATTTCTCATTAAAGGCATCCCCATTCACGTTGTCCCCTCGGTAGCTTGGTAACTTGACTCCATCCTTCACCTCGAATGGGTCTGATCTTGGCTTTGCAAACTGTCCTGCCATTCTCCCCACCTAGAACAAAACAAATTTAGAAATTAATCAACTAAGATTTATTTTATTTTTTGCTTGTTTAGAAAACTTTTCATTTGTTATGTACTAAATTTCTATCATATGCTTGGACTCTCCTTTTCAAATATGAAGAACCCACCATTGAAGTTTTAATAAAGAATAAATGAAAATTATTGTTTTGTTAATCATATCTGTGATAATTAACCCGAAAATACATGTTCCTGATTTTAGACGTGTGTACTGTGAACTAACATGCTAGTACCAGGTGACAGCAATGTTTCTCTAGTTAACAAAATCCAAGTCCTCGCACAAAATTACAAAACCAGGGTACATGGAGCCAACTTTTGCCAAAGGTGCCAACTTTAACCAAAGGTGCAACCTTTTACCAAAAAAGTTTCTGGTATTTCTCTAAACAAAAAAGTTCATGGTCGTTTAGAAGGGGGGGAAAACCAGGGCAAAGTTACATCAGATGTTTATTTTATTTTACCATAATTCTGCAAACTTCCAAAAAGATGACAACTTTATGCATGCAGCATCGAAAAAAATTTCAAATTTTCATTCCTTTCACACAAAACACCCACCTTGATCACAGGCATCTGGCCACCGAACATAAGCACAGCCCCCATCTGAAGCAGGATCCTGAACGTATCCCTAATATTATTCGCATTGAACTCCTTGAAGCTCTCAGCACAATCTCCTCCCTGCAGCAAGAACGCCCTCCCCATCGCCGCCTCCCCCAGCTTCTCCTCCAAATGCCTCGCCTCGCCGGCGAACACGATCGGGGGAAAGCTCTCGATCGTCTCCAGCACCTCCTCGAGCTTCGCCGCATCGGGGTACTCCGGCAGCTGGAGAGCCTTCTTGGACCTCCAGCTGTTGAGATCCCACCTGCCAGGTTTCGCCGGAGCTGGCCCCCGCGGAGGTTGAGCCGGCGCCGGAGATTGCTCCGCGAGTGTACGGCGGAGATTGGTCGGACGGAGCAGCGGCGGCGCGAGGGGAAATGGCGGGGAGGAGGAGCGAGTGAGGGGAGGGGAGGGGAGCCTGGTTTCTTGATTTTTAGGAAGGATTTGTGTCGGGCGACAGGGGAGGAGGATGGTATCGCAGAGAGCCATTGTCCTGCTGTTTATTTTTTTAATTCTGGGAATTAAAAAATAGCAGGATTTTTTTTAGGGGCCTTCGATAATGGCTTGTAAGGTGGAGAGGAAATGGAGTGGGGCCGTTTATATAGAGGGGAGTGGCGGGGCGAAGGAAGGGGGTTGTCTTGAAAGGGAGGGTAGTTGCAGGAGCGATGAATTTGGGTTGGTGGGAGAAAGGAAGGGGGTTGCATTTTGTTAATTTAGACATTTGTTTATGGGGAGAGGGGGGAAATCGTAATTTGTCGCGTGGAGTGAGCGTATATATCATTGTATTTGTTGGGAATGGGTTGGTGGTGGTGGTAACACTTGAATTCGAAAGCAGTTAGGCGATGAATGAACTATTTGATTTTTTTCTTTTTTCTCTTTTTTTTTTTAACAGTGCAATGCGCACTGCGGGAGATATTTCTATCTTATGGGGAACTTTTTTTTTAATAAATTATATAGAAAGGCTAAATTGCAAAAAGGTTCCGTGTAGCTTCACCAACTTCGCAAATAAGCGGTCCGCATTTTATAGTTGAGCAAGCAAATAAGGCGAAGGATGGTTGTATTGTAATTTGGATGACCTTTATGAGGGGTATAAAACTGTAGTAAAATGTCACGTGACAGCTCGGATGGATATATTTCAAAAAAATATTCTAATGGCTAACTAACGGATGGTATCAATTTTCAACATTTTAAAAACTTTAGGGTATTTAACTGCACGGTTTTAAAACTTCGGGTATTATCTGAAGGGTCTGAAAATATCCGGGCATTTATTTGCTCGATTTTAAAATAAGGTCGCTTATTTGCAAGGTTGGTGAAACTATATGGCTTTTTTCGACAATTTTGCCTTATAGAAAACACTATGTATATATATCCAAAATTTACAATAGAAATCCTTTTAGAATCATCGCCTATAAGGGCCTGTTTGTTTTACCAATTTTATGGAATAGGAATGGTATTTGGACCTGACAATGACGTTTTCGTAATTAATATATTCCAAATGAATCATAATCCTGAGTTTGGTTCAAATTTTTTTTATAGAATTGCTAATCTATAAAGTGACTCAAACAGTGTATATTTCAGGAAATCCAAATCCACTCTATTTGCTAGGAATTGGGTGGAATTTCTGACACCTCTCCTCTTTTTTATTCTAATTCCTAATCCTATTCCTAATCCTTGGGTGAAACAAACATAGAATACAAAAAAAATGAGATTCCATAAAACTAAAACTTGTCTATAAATTTTTTATGGATTAGATTGGAATCCATAAATAAAATAGGATTCCTAATCCTATTCCTACTCTCTATTGAACCAAACAGGCCCTAAGAGTAGGTTGATTTACATCATTAATAGAAAGAAAATCCTATCAGAACCATCCCCTAGGACTAAGGAGCAAGGATTCTATCAAAACACCTAATAGAAAAAGGTGATCTGCACGTTGGGAATTACAATTCAATATTATAGGAGTAGACTGGTTTACACCTTTAATATAGAATATAAATTTTATAAGAACCATCCCCGAGGGTGAGGATATTCTGAGGCAGATACTAGAATTTTTACTTCGAAATATATTAGTAAAATCTTTTTGTCTATTATAGCCAAGAAAATAAAAAGGTAATTCTAATGTTTATCACTTTAACTATAAAATATCCGAGACAACAGGCTTTCAAACAGTTTAGATAACACATGAGAGAATACTATAGTATAACGTAGGCGAAAGACATTTTCTATTAAAACAAGGGAAAGGGAGAAAAAAAAGAAGAAGAAGAAAGCCCGTTAATTTCAGTAGAAAATAAAACCTTCCACTGTCGAAACTTTCATAGTAAAGGCTGGTGCATATTTATCTTTCCTAACAATATAAACTACATATCAATCGACTATTTACATTTTGCAGATCGATTTTTTAAACGCAAATGATTATTATTATTATTATTTATGATCTGCTATCCGATCTATTCCAATTCCAACATTTATTTATTTTTCTGTCATCTGTTTTGTTGAACATATTTAAAAATCAAAAAAAAAAAACGGAATAAAAAGGTAAGAGACTCTCTACGATTAATTTGTTCGATGTGGAGTGCGGAACCGGAAAGAGGCTAAAATACACTTGGAATAATATTCCGGTGTTAAATTGAGGTTTAAGGACTGTCAAAAAAGTATTAGAGATGTACGTAGCTTTTATGCCCTTTTCTTAATTAAAAAAAAATGGTCTAGTGAAACTTATTAGGAGTTGGTGCTGGAATAGTAATAATAGTATGCTCTTGAGCATCCGATACAAATTATGTAATAATATTGTAATGTTAATAAATTTAATTATTGCACATATAATTTGGGTATTATTTATATAATTATTATATATCATTAGAATTTATTTTGTTAAATCATGCACTGTGATGGTCACTTGCTTGGAGATATGATCTAACTTTAAAAAATTTTAAATTTGTGCTTAATCTATAACTAGTAAAGGATACATGTAGTCTGTCTAAAAATTACTGCAGATAGCTGATCCTCATCAAACACCGATGATGGTCACCGCTGGATCTAAAAAAAGAAAAAATAGATGATCGCGATCTTGAAAAGAGGGGCTTTGGCAGAGGCTTTTTGAGATCTTCGGTTATCTTGGAGCTTCGGCAATCTTGAGCGATCATCCTTGGAGATTCTGAAGCTTTGGAGTAAGATCTTGGCTATAAACTGATTTTCGGTTAAGTCAATTCAACTCTTTAATAGAGTTTGCAACTCGCTATGAGTTCATTAACTCGTTAAGAGTTATAAACCGATTTTCGGTTCAAATCAACTCTTTTAACAAAGTTTAAACTCACACTGAGTTATTAAACTCGTTAAGAGTTATTTTCAAACCTGCCACGCAAGTTCTCCTCAACGTCAACCAAGAGGAAGATATCGTGTTCCACGAGGTGAAGCATTCGGATCGTTAACGGAAAGCGAACTCGACACGAACCTCGAGGGAGACATTCCATCGACACCAAGAAGAACTCATGTTAAACAAAGGGAAGGGTCTCTGTCGATCCTTCTCTCTTTTGTAAATCGGGAAACCGATCGAGAAGATTATATTTTTTTTCTAAGCCAGTTAGAGATAAATTTGCATTGAGAAAATTATAACTCATTCTTTTTCTAAGTCTGTTAGAGAGAATAATACAAATTTAATTCTCCATTTTCTTCTTTCAATTTTCCCAACAAACAATAACTTTGTTATAACATGTTATTATGCATGGACAAATTTTCAAAACCGACCACTTTGGATTTTTAATTGCAAAAAACGACCCATTTCACTCTTATTTATAAAAACCGACCCAGTTGGTTGAAACTGGGTCGGTTTTTGAAAATTTTTTTCCCAAACTTCACGCGAGTTCAACTCCCGTGAAGTTTTGTTATGAGAAAAACTTCACGGGAGTTGAACTCCCGTGAAGTTTCCCAAAAAAATTTAAAAAAACCGACCTGTTTTCAGCCCCTGGCTGAAAACAGGTCGGTTTTTGTAAATATTTTTAAAACCGGTCGTTTTTTGCAATTAAAACCCTAAAGGGGTCGGTTTTGAAAATTTGTCCTATTATGCATGATACTGATATGTGAGATGTGGTGGTGGTCTCAACCGTCAGGAATGAGGATTCTACGGGTGTATGTCATAAGCACGCAATGTGATGTGTGTAGTACTAGACCATATTTGAATTCTCTAGGACAAGTCACCTAGGAGATGAAGATTTCAAATTGTTACATGATCCTTTTGACTTGATGATATTGTCATTTTTTATTTGATAATTTAGTATACTTTAATGTGATAGTTAAGCTTGTTTAGCAAGAACTACACAACCTGAAACGTTAGGTTGCTAAATTTAGGTTGCTAAATTTTATTTAGATAAATGATGGATATCTAGATAGGATCCAGTATGCTCATTATGATGAGTGAATTTATTATGCATTCCCATGAAGTTATTAAATTCTTGCCGGCACGTGGTTTTGAAAATATTTTTTTTTAATTTACTTTTTTATAAAAATAAAATATTTTAATGTTTCAAAATGATTTTTATTTATGTTCATGAGAATTGCAATTTAGGCATGAGTAAATATGTGAGTTGTCCTGCTTAAAAGAGTTGCCTAAAATAAATGATATTAAAGGGGACTCAATGTAAAATATTATTTATTAATAATTAATCTCATATTATGGAAGAGCTTCTATGAACAGTTGGTCGGATAAGGATTTGATTGTTAAATTAAAATTATTAACTTGATTAATAATTGGTTCTCAATATGAGACCTAATTGTTCTCACTAATGTCATTGGAAGTGGTTTACATACAATGCAAATCTATTTCTATTCTTAATTGTTATGGATAACGTTTTTGAACAAATCTATTCTACCTTTAATTGTTATGGATAGAGTTTTTGAACAATTATAAATTGTTTAAAATCAAAATCTCTAAGACTAGGCTAATCCTATATATAGAGTTCATATGTAGCCTTATGAAGATACAGAAAATCTTATGAAGATAATATGAAGAATAGAATAGAAATAGAACTTTGAGAACATATCTCTCAGTATTGCTCTTCTTCGGTAACGGGTGGATTTCAATTGGAGGTTTTTTCTCTTGAAGAAGCTATTTCGGATTGATCTCGGGATAGATTATTGTAGAAATTCGAAAAGTGTTTTAAGTATTCTTCTAGTTTTTAATTAATTTTGATTAATAGTCATGACATTCTATTTTCATTGCGTTGTATGTTATATTTCCAACAACTAGATCTCATCTCAAATTCATCCTGATTTCAATAAAATCTATGGAGTATTCGAACATGGGACTGATAAGTGGAGAACAAACTCACTCAACCTTCGATGGACCCGGAGGAGGACTTTGATCCTCGGAGCAAAATACCTATTTATATTGTTTAATAAAGAAAGTTTATTTACTTTGGATTCGTTGGATTAAAATCTTATGAAAGATTCTTATCGCTAGAAAATTTCTGTTCACTTTTTTTTGAGCCTGAGAAACAGGGTGGGGTGCCCTGTTCATTTAAATATATTGAAAAAATTTCAGAAGAGGAATATACATCAGCTCTAGGTGGAGAAAACACAGTGGGAGAAGTGAGTAGGGAGCGGACCATTGTCGTCGACCTACTGCTTTCTTGCAGCTAGAGAAAACAAAACACCAAAAAGTAATACAACATTGCAGAGAGGGGATTGTAACAGCTACAGTACTATGATTAACGACTGAACTATGCTAGACACAGCTAGCAGCTAACCAAAAGGGAGCTTCTTCACAAAATGGTTCTACTTCCTACAGGGACTAGAGTTGCAGGTGCTTAGTTGCTTGAGAAATTTCCCCCAGCATCAACAGGGGCGTTCTTCTTGGCTAGCTCCTGAAAGCCGAGATTGAGGGATGCCCTTCGAAGCCTCCTAGTTGTTGGACCCTAGAGGGGGGGTGATTAGGGTCTTATGCTAATCTAATCCGATTAAATGCCAATTAAAACTAATTAACAAGTTATCCTAGCAAGTGTGAAATATAACAAGATATGTAAGCTAGGATAAGCAATATGAACAATGAGATATATCCTATATGATGAATATATATATATATATATATATATATATATATATATATATATATATTATATTATATATATTATATATATATATATATATATAGTAATATATAATATATATATGCAAGGATATATTAAACAACACAAGATAATATATCCTAGCCAATAATAATATACAATATGATATATGTAAGGATATATAAACTAACACAAGGATGAATAATCTAAACAAGAATAGTGATGAATAGATGAATGAGCCTAATGCAATGGCGATATAAGATATGAACATAATATAATGACATGAACTGCCAAAGACACTTCATAACAAGCAATTGATCACGAGTTCTGGAACCTGTCCGCGTCCTAGTCTCCGCTCCCTACTCCGGGAGAAATCCAGCTATCAACGCGGGTTTTTCTACGTCACCCGAATCAAACGTTTACACCTACAGTATCGCGGTTTCAAACGCTCACCGATTCAACGTTCACTCTCACACTCGTTTCCTAGGCTGCACCGCAAACCTTAGCAACACTCACAATGTAAGAATATATAAATTTGTTTCTCTACAATAGAATGAAAACAATGAAAGCAAATCATAAGTTACAATTCTCACCACCCAACTATCTATGTATGAAAGTATCAATAAGCCTAATGTGGGTTGTGTGTGTAGCAATGAGTAAATAAGATCAAATCACTAACTCAAATATAATCTAGCTTAAGAACAATGATATCAATCTAGATCATATATAAATGTAAAGCTAGAGTTTGAGTTATGAAAACTTCTCATTTGTAAAGAAGAGATGGTAGATGATAAGTTGGAAGTCAAACTTCATAGTAATACTCCTCACCTCGTTGGTGGAATTTTGATTCACCCAAAACAAACTCTCATTTGCTTAAAAGCTTTTTAAAACCACTTAACACGAAACTAAACCTTGTTAAAAACTTTATTAAACTTGATTAAACTTCTGGTTAACTGAAAAGACATCACAATGCGGGTATATATACCAGCTCAAAGTCAGGCCAAAAACCCCAAAACGAAATGACCAAAAGACCCCAGCACAGCTCAGAGAAAGCATGACCGTTAAAAAGCACGAGACTATATTGTCGGTCGACTCGAAATTTTTGTCGTCGATCGGCAGAGAGCAAAGCAACGAAGAAGAGTATCTGGACCTTCGTCGGTCAACCGGTAGCGGCACCGCATGGGAGTTTTTCGTCGACGACAGACTCTCTGTCGCCCAGTGAGAAATGATCAACTGATCGGTCGACCGGGTCGGTCGACCGAAATCTGACACAGCTGAAAAACCTGATTTGCTGATTTTAAAAAGCTGTTTAAAAATATCAAACAAATTCCAAAAAATGTAAAACTTTGGGGAATGATTGTAGACATGATAATAAACATGCTACAACGACTGGTTTCGAAAAAGGACTTCCCAAATGAAAAATATCATCATTTTACAAAATAGTCCAAAACATGAAAATATGAGATACTTGAATTTTGATGTTTTGACATAAACCAACTTTTGAAACTTTGTGAAATGTTTTTTGTAGACTTAGTAAAACATGTATAAACTGATATTGAAGTCTATAAACTAAGAATACAGTATTTTCACAAATACAATAGAAAATGAAACCTATGAGTATGTATATGAAAATATATTTGTTTCATATCTATGTAGATAAACCAAATCATAATAATAAATATGAAACATGTAATTTCATATTTATAAACATGAAAACCAAAACTTGTGTTGTATATATATGTGACTACATATATATACAAGGAAACTAATAAAATGTGTGTGTATAGATAATTGAGCTTAGAGTATATAACACACATAATATAAATCCTAAACTAAATTACCCAAGCTAGATCTTGATCTTCAATAAGCTCTTCTAGGTACACGTGCGGATGAAGCTTGAACTTGATCTTTAACTTGAATTGTATAGGCTTCAACCCGACATTCCGCCAACCTCCTTTGGATATCATCGTTGAAGCGCAATCCATCCAACCTCCAACTACGTTGTTTGTCTACAATGAATAGATAATACAAGCACTAGACAAACAACATTAGTAGTAAATTGTTTGTAAATCATCATCAAAACAAGAAGGCCAACACTAGTCATCCTATCATCTTCTGTACCTGACCAGAATATAGAAAATCTCGCAATATTAGAAGCAGTTGGGAGTGAGATAGGCTGAATATCCTTGAAAATTAGAGAATTTCTACAGAACCAGATCCACCAACAAAAACATGGCAACAGAATCTTCCATATAGCTTTAGCATCTGAGCAAATATTGGGAACTTTGTGAAGCAGCAACAATTCTTCCATGGTCGTAGGCTAGCTGTTAGCTGGAAAGAGGGGGAGAAGGGAGTTCCAAACATCGCGAGCAAAGGAGCAGTGTATAAATAAGTGATCGTGGGTTTCTGTTCCCGATGACAGAAAGGACAACTTGGGTCACGGTTCCATCCTTTTTTGATCAAATTATCTCTTGTATTCAGCGTCCTTTTAGAAATAATCCAGAGATGGACTTTTACCTTTAAGGAAATGTTGGATTTCCAAATCGTGTTGAAGAACTGGGATTTTAGACCCCCTGAAGTAACAAATGAGTAAAAGGATTTTACAGTGAAAATGCCCGAAGAATGAAGAGGCCACCGTAAGTCGTCCAGCTCAGATGGGCCACCTGGAATAATATGCTCTAAGAAAGAGTGAAGATGGAGAATGCTTGCCCTTTCATTAGGGGAAATACCCCTTCTAATTAGGGGATGTCAATTCCATGAATTATTGAGCAATCTACCTTGCGAACCAATGCTGTAGTTTTTTGAGAGGGCTAGCTTATATGCAATAGGGAAGAGGCTGCTAAGAGTATTTGCTGAAGACCATTTATCATGCCAAAAACTGCCAGTATTGCCATCTCCAACATTCCATCTGACAATGTTAAAGAAGGTGGAGTGAATGGAGAATAGATCTTGAATAAATCTTGAAGATGACATCTTTGGTTGATGAGCAAAGGGATTTGCTCCATTTTTTGAATAAATGGAGAAAAACACTTTGCTGAGAAATGAGGTTATGTCGAAAATTTTCCAAATCCATTTGGAGAGGAGAGCTGAATTAAAAGAGGGGATATCAATCACCCCAAGCCCTCCTTCTTCCTTAGACTTACAGACTGTCCCCCAGTTGATAAGACATTTAGATCTTGAGTAAGACTGTCATTCCAGAGGAAATTTCTTCTGATTTTATCTATGGCCTTAATGACCCATATCGGCAGCTTAAAGAATAACATATAGTAGAGAGGGATGGAGGAGAGGACAGAGTTCAGGAGAGTTAACCTACCTCCAATGGAGAGAGTTTTGTTTTTCCATAAAGATGACTTCTTTTTGAATGATTCTAGGAGAGGTTGCCACTCTCTTTTTGATAGAGAACCTCTTTTCAGGAGAAGTCTCAGGTAAGAAAAAGTGAGGGAACCGACAGAACAGTTGAGTATCTCAGCCAACGAGTTGCCTTTATGAGGGATTTTGCCAAGATAGAAGAGGTTAGTTTTCTGAGGATTTGCACAAAGCCCTGAAATGCTTGCAAAGATGGAGAGAATGGTCTTGAGAGTAACCATATCAGAGGAGTTAGCCTTAGAGAAGATGATTGTGTCATCCGCAAATTGAATGGTTCTAACGGAATTGAGATCACCTCTCAAATTTAGGTTAGAAAGGTCTCCTGAACCTGCGCTGCATTATGAACCGTGTCCTTAACACGATTAGTTTAACATATTTGATGGTCTTAATAGATCACTAAATTTTTGGCAGCGACAAAGATTTACATGGACTATATACATGTTGAATATTTCCTCTAAAATATATGCATGTTGAATAATGGCTAAATGACACTTAAATACCCTATTGTTTCACCAACATTACAGCTTGAATACCTTAAATTATAAAAAGTAGCACTTTATTAATATTCTAATTTACAAAAAATTGGCGTGGTAGTACTTTTTGTAAAGGTGGTGAAACGGTAGGGTATTTAAGTGTTATTTTTTTACAACTTGAGGTATTAAAGTACTTTATTTTCCAACTTAGGACATCAAACTGTTATTTTTTATAATTTAGAATATTTAAGTGTCAACGTGGTGAAACAATAGGATACTAAAGTGCTATTTAGCCTTTGGGTAATTTCAAAAGATTGATGACATGTGTGATTTTGCGATGGAAAGATCACAAATTTGAAACATATACCAAACACGCGAGGGGAGTCAACCAAATTATATCCGGAACAACTATTTTTGAGTTATTTCAATATTAACCCCTCAAATCTTCATTGTTTCTAAATTAGTCCCTCAAATCATGGAAATTCCTATTAGGTCCCTCAAATCATGACATTGCTTACAATTAGATCCCTCTGTCTAAGTTAACATCTATTTGGGTAAGTGCGGTTAAGTTAATCCTTAAAACCCCACATGGTTAATTATAATAGTGCCCTTATGTTAAAGCTTTTATAGGGTTGAGAGGGGTAAGAGCCGTTAAAATATGTTAGAGTGAAGAAGAGAGCCATTGGAGAAAAAAAAAAGTTTTTAATGAGTTGGGGTTGTGTTGCTCTTAAAGGGTCAAATGAGTCTAAATGGGTTGGATTCTAAATGTATCCAACTTCATAACGTTAAAACTTTAGGATATAACAGGTGTTGATGGCTAATATCAAACAGTCAATGAGAGAAGTGATCTGGTTGACGGAGGTCCTCTAACCCTCTGAATGTTCAGTTCTGAGGTATGTTGTTCTTCCTTGCACAGGTAGAAAATCGTAAGAAGGTAGAGTTGGGTTCTCCGGTTGTTCCTTCGACGATCAAGTCAGTAATTTGCTCGAGTGAAGAAGTAAATAAACTGTAGAAGTTCTTAAGCACTATGGGTAGAGATCAAGATCTTACCTTTATGCCGAAAACAGTAACCATATTTATAGTGGTAGTAGAGAGGGAGGATGGTAACTCCGACCGAGTATGAGCTAGTGGCCAAGTCAGCATCCACTTTACAAATGTCGGTCGACGAGTGAATGAGATGTCACTTCGGCATTTAATGTAAAGTGATTGGGGGCGTGCGGTGATGACATGGTCCAATGTGTCATAAAGACGATTAGGGTAGAGAAATAATGATGTTCATTATGCATTTAATGGTATTTATTGTGAGCTGATCAGCCGTCAAAGCGCGAGAGGGGCCTCGAGGCTCGAGGTAATCATCGCCTTTCTACTCGTCCGGTGGAAGATCGAGAAGTATCGCCTTTTGAGTCGCCTTCGAGAGATATCAGCTGAATGGTCGGTCAAGTAGGTTGATCAAGAAATCAACCTAGCTAGGTGTCGACATGTCACGCCTTTTGAATCGCCCTCGTGAGATGTTGGCGTGTCGAGTCGTCTGAGTTGGGCCATTGGTTATCTTGAAGCGAAGAGTCAGCTCGATTACGCATAATATGAGACACATGTCTGTTATTGATTGGGGGTTACTTTTTATCACTAAAACGATTTTAACAATAGGAAAATCAGTACTAAAAGTTAGATTTAAAGGAATATTTCTTCAGCTCTAGACTAATGTTAACTAGGGGGACCCAATTGTAAGCAATGTGATGATTTGAGGGACCTAATGGCAATTTCTATGACCTGGGGGGACTAATTTGGAATTATTGAAGATATGAGGGGCTAATATTGAAATAACCCAATTTGTTTGTGTGCTAAGGAAAAGTGAAGGCATCCACTCTCAACTGCTTTCTTTAATAAAAAAATAGGCTAATCGCTAAAATCAACTTTTCTTGCAAAAAATTCCTCAGATCTTAGTATTCCCCAAACAGTCACTTAAATGTTCATTGTTTTTGCCAATTCGTCCTCTATTAGGAGCTTTGTTAAATATCAAACTGTAAATGAATTAAGTATTTTCACAACATGTAAAATTAACCAAGTGCCATTAAAAATATTTCTTTTTTATTTTGAAAGTTAGAGGAAATGAAGAGGAATGGAGGGGTTCTAGAGGGAAATCTAACCATTGGAATAACTTTGATTTGTGTTTGAAGAAAGCTCTAAACTTTAAAAAGAACTTGGTGGGTTTGAGTTACTGGTGTAAACCCGTTATGAAACGGGTTGGTGATATTTTAAATGATAGTATTAAATATGGGTGGGGTATAACGGGAACTCCACTCATTTCCATTTGAGCTAATTGAATTTCACCCTAATTAATAACTTCACTAGCCAGAGAGACGAATTGATGAAGATTTGAGGGACTTTTCAGTAAATATTGAGATTTGAGAGACTTTTTGCCAAATAAGAATAAGGGACTAATATTCAATTACCAAAAAATTTATTGGGCTCTTAAGTCTCAACTGCTTTCAGTGGTTAAGTACAGAAACCATATTATATTACCAACGGAAAAAAATTATAGAAAATAAAGGAAGCGCTACAGGAAATAAAGTATTTCAAACACAAGGCCAAATTATTGGAAGAGCATTAAATATGTAGTCAATGTATTTGATGCCAGAGGAGTTTGGTGGAGGGAGACTCAGCCATCTAATTGATTATTGACTCAACCCTAAAAGTCTTCTTTTATTTACAACTAGTATTAAGCCCACACTTTGCTGCGGATATTATTTACCAAGTTATATATGTCTTTAGTTTTTATATATAACTATTTTAAAACTTCAATGATAATTTTTTTACTATTATTGACAAAGTGAATTTCCAAACCAATTAACAAATAATACACCAATTAGCAAGTTTTATTATTATTTTATAATATAGCCAGGAAAGATTTATATTAGTGAAATGTTTGATAAAGATTAATTTCATCATTTGCAAGAACAAAAAAATTATATGAATAATGTTTTCAAGGTTAAAAAATATCACTTTAAGCTTGAACAATGGATAAAGTACCATAAAATTCAAGGTAGCATATAGATTATGTTTAAGATTCAAAAACTATAATATAGCATGAACAGTGTTTAGGGGGGAGAATCATTACTGCTTGAACAGTATGGTTAAGGTTGATAAATATGCTGTAGCATGAGTAATAACTAAAAATATTATGAGTGACATTATATCAAGAATAGTATTTACTATAGTATGAACAGTAATTTTAAGATTTTCCTTTTAAATTAGAAGTAGTAGATATGTTCCCTTGTACAGCGAAACTAGTGTAATTTATGAGATATATCATATATGTACTAATATCAAAATAGAGAAATATATGTATCGTTGCCACGTATAGGGATTTATTGTAAGGCAATAATGTACCTTAATCTCAACTAAATAAATAAAAAGAACAGAGAAATCTTATGACAATGGTTATCTAAGATTGAGTCACATCATTATACATGAAGAAATTTCATAACATATGACACTCACTAACTTCATTGAATAGATTTTGTCATGACTTCTTTTTCTTTTTTGTGTATGGATTAAAAAAAAGCTAAACATAGAGGACGCAAAACACATCAGAAGATTGATATGCATCCCATAAATTACATGTCTAGATTCCATCACCGCTGACTTATAATTTAGAAAATGAAATGTCCATCACCAAACTCGCATTGAACAAGATCAATAAAAAGTTTTATGGTTGAACTCTCCTTTTAGCCATCCGAAAAGTACAAACACTAATTATTACAATAAACATAGTTGTAACCATATTTATGCATAATTTTGTATAAGTAAAAAAAGATAGCACTAATTATTACAATAAACATAGTTGTAACCATATTTATGCATAATTTTGTATAAGTAAAAAAAGATAGATTTCTTAAGTGAAAACATCAAAGGTATAACCATATTTATGCATAATTTTGTATAAGTAAAAAAAGATAGATTTCTTAAGTGAAAACATCAAAGGTACGTATATACTAGATTTCTTGAGTGAGAACATCAAAGGTATATACTCTTAGAAGTTTTTAACTATAGGAAAATTAGCTTTTGTTCTACTACAAAAGAATCAATGTATCAAATCACGCACACACACACAAGTTGCACAATAGAGGAGATAACATATTAAAAACACATTCAAGAGACACTTAGTATGATGATGATTTTAAAGAAAAAAGTGACAAAAAATCATAATAATTCACCAGGATATACCATTTGACAAGCGAAGTACGTAGAAGATAACTATATAAGTTTTATAAAAATACTAGTATAATTTAGGGAATGATAGGTATAAGATGACAGCTCATTTAGTTAAATAAGTTACCAAGAGATAGAATGGTAAAATCCGCACTTTATGATGTGACTAGCAAGATGAGCTTCATCATATGGTCATATCTTGATAGCTTATTTTGTAAAATGAGCCACCACCTCATACACACACTCTACATAAAGCTTAGGTAGAATATTTTCTACCTCATATGTGATTTGTTCTTAAGAGGGAAAAGGGCCCCCTCGTCCCCCAAAGCAGCGGACTGAATCCTTCCAACTCCAATGATTCCATTATCTGCGGATCAACTTTATTCAAAAAAAATTATTGAGATATTAGTGTAATACATATACTGCACCTACTTAATAGTACTCATGTGGATTTCTGGCTTCCTTATGAACTATATCAAATATATTTTTATTCTACTTTCTGTATGTTACCTTTGGGTGCGTGTTTTGGGCTTTTT